ATCCGGTTTAAGAACGGACATCAGCCTGGTATCTCGAGTCAATACAGCTCTCTCTCTCTCTCTCCCCCCCCCCCTCTTGCCCAATTGTATGATTTTTTCGCTTGTTTTTGCAATATCGCTTTTTTGGCACATGCAGAGTGAGAGTTGCAAACCGCGGTCGGGAGGGCAAAAAAAAAAAAAAAAAAAAAAAAAAAGAGAGTTGCAAACCGCGGTCGGGAGGGGAATTGGGTTTATAGCGGTCCTTCGGAGGCAGTGGCTACCAGTGCGGTTGCTCGGTGTTCTCCCAGGGATCGGCCATTGCCAGCGACGAAGTGGGGTAGTCCAGGTCACCAAGCTGCGAATGTGAGCTCGTGAACTGGTTGGGTCGATCGCCTCCTCCTGCTAAGAAAGCTGTTGCCGTCGACGCCGTTGGCAGTGGATGGTTGTATGTTGAGCGGTCAAGAGTATAATGGCGCCAGCGAATACGGGGAGGCCAAGGAGACGACGGTTTTCTCGGTAGCTTGTTGGCCGTCGTTAATAGCATTATCATCGAAGGTAGGGTAATCCGCAGTGTGCTTTGGAGAGGGGTAGAGAGGTGGTGAGCTGTCGTGACAGGAGAAAACTTCTTGAGAATGTTCTTTTAGCTCTAGGCCTTCTGTCGTCGTAGACAGCGGTGAATGTAGTGTAGTAACTTCCCTGTTGGCTGAACTGGACTTCGACGTCTCTGAGCGGGGATGAGCATTCTTATCCTTGGACTTACTTAGGAGAGGATTGAACTTTGTGAAACGGAGGAAGCGGAGCATGGGAGTGAATGAAAGATAGTGATATGTAGTGTGACAAGGAGAGTGTCGTTCAACGTCTCTGCGGCTCTTTTGGGAGGAACCGAGCATGTGACAACACGTTTGAGTTCCGTCTTTTTGAAGAAGCGAGCGTGTTGTGTCGAGCCCAGGGGAATTTACAGCCGCCGATGTAGTGGGCTGGGCCTCCTTGCCTCTCTGAGAGGATCCGAGCGTGGGCTGTGCAGAGGATGGTGTTCAGCACAGGGAATTTACAATCGATGTTTTGGTGTGCTTGGATCTCGATTTCGTCGTGGAAGATGCATGGAATGTTGGGGACAAGGAATCAGGAGCGGATGGGTGCCGATCGAACAGTCAAGCAGTGGAGGAAGTGCTTGTGTACGGAGTGGAGAATGTGGGGATGAGGAAAATTAGGACGGACACGTATGGTTTGTGGGTTGCCCGTCTGCATTGACGTTGAAGTGGCGCAATGATAGGTGGAACATGGCGAAAGGAGAAGGGGAGCAAGGGAGATACGACGGGAAATGAGGGAAGGAAGGAAGGAAACGACGGAAGAAAGTTCATGCGGGCCTTGAGGAGGCGGCAACAGAGGAAATGGTCTCTTCCTACATGTGGTGAACGGAGCAATGACACGTGGCATGGAGTGTTGTTGGGGTGCAAAAAGAGCAGAGCTGACGATGGGAACAAGCAGAGAAATGAAGATCATTTAGAATGCAAGGGTTGCTCACAGACACACACACAGAGAGAGAGAGAGAGAGAGAGAGAGAGAGAGAGA